TGAGCCTTTTCCGCCGGGGTGAAGCGTGCTCGGTGATGGAAAAAAACACGGTGACATCGGGGTCGAGCGTTTTTCACATGCATTCGTTGCAATCGAGACTGTCACTATCGTATAGGCCTATACAGCCATAACAGATGCCGCGCTACCATCAGCAGCTGAGTTATAAATTTTGGACCGAAGATCCCTGGACTCTCAAGACCAATGAATACCACATGCACACACATATGTTACGAAGAGAACTCACATTCTAAAATATTAAAAAAAAAATTATATTTTTCGATTCTGATGAATGCCTTGGCTTGAGGAAAATCCAATATCAGTTTTTCGTATTTTTTATAAACGGACCAGTCTAAGAAATTCCGAGGAGAGCCAGGAGTCCTAATGTTGAAGGTGATATAATCGTGAAAATTCTCGGCTCCTGGGTCCTTCTCGAATATGTACAGCCACTGCACGATACACGTGGTGACTATTGTGCCCACTGCCTTTTACGTGATCGCCTTGAATCTGAAGTACTGCAAAGATAAAGAGGACAGTATAACATAACTCTCGGAGCTTACTCTCCCCGGAAACTTTGCAGACGCCTTGAACTTTGTGTGCATCAGCATATAAACCTCAGTGGGGTCTACATAGCTTCTGTCGTTACCGCTGTTCGTCTATTCACACTCAGAAAGCTCGCTCTTCTCACGTGTCTTTCCATTTCCTATGTCAGAGTATTAAGAACAACCATTTTAATATATCTCAAAGAAAAAGTGAGAATGTTTCGTTTGAGAGCATGCCGCACAACATTACGTTAGGTCGTCTTTCTTTCGTGGACAGATGCTGGGAAAATAGTTGGTTCTCCGTACTGCTCCAAAAAGTCCCTGACTCCTGCCATTATCAGGAGTCATTACTCTGTTTTTGGTCAGAAATCATTACTCAGGCCAAAAACAATGTAATGATCCGACATCACGGTTGGAGATCTCACTCCTCATTTTCCAAAGTTGTCTTTCATCCTACAACCACTTTCCCACGGTCGAAATGAATCTCTCGCTAGTCTATCGCTATTTTAATGCCAGATATTCGACCGGACTTGATTGCTTGGTTATACCAGTTCAAGCCTTCACATCTGTGACTCGCTAGGCCAATTACATCATCATTTCCTTCATGTTCCATTGGTATGGAGCAGCTTTCTCTTGAATTCTTCCCTAGAAATGTTGCATTATGGAACCGACACTCGATTGGATGTTTCTTCGATCACTACAATCTTAATCTCCTCAAATCTAGGGTCAACCGTTATCTATACTACAGAGGCTCTTAATATGCCTTTATTCTCGCTTTGTACGTCATTACATTAACAATATTTGGTAACTCTCTACATTGATTGGCTCTTGTGCTTTCTTATCGTATTTCCATTACATGAAACTATACTAATAAACAAATTTCAGATTGTGAAAAACACTGTTTTTTTAAATAATCTGTAGTGGGTACAAAATCATATTTAAGCTTTTTATTAGGGCTTATTTTAAATAAATAATATGCAAATACACAAATATAAAAAAAAAAACAAATTGATAGTAAGGACAAGGATAGGACAAGAAAAAACTACTTAGCGTTAAGTGTTCGATAGAAAAATATTAAACAAACAACAAAATAGAAGGTCAGAACCAATCGAGGACAAAACATTTAAATATTCGCACAGCAACTAAGACAGGAAAGAAGGAAATACTATTATAAATCACAGACACATTATATTTAGACACAGCAACTGTTCGTTTTGCCTAAAGAGGGAAGGCTGCTCTGACTTAATATAAATGGTCTATAATATATAATGGAATATGCATACACCTGTGTTCCCCCTCACTGGAACATGATTGGCTGGTGTCCGTCATAAATATCGATGGACGTGTAGGAGAATCAAGAGCCTTAATCTGAGAGTCTAAGTCTATAACGACGCCCATCTACACTTTTTATCTGCGACTACGAAGCGTACCAGTCAATTACTGCTACCATATTCTACTTGGTTATAGTAGCCAAAACCACTTAGCTACTTCGTTCAAATATATCCCTTTCTGGGACATATCAGTCTAAAGTACTCTCAGCTGATAATCTGAATGTGCTATGATGAATACTGTGAAGAAATATCTAATAAAAGATTAGGCACAAGACGGGTTATTTATTAAGTGTTCTGCAGTCACCGAACCGGATATTTTAACGAGCGCCTGAAAATATTCATATTGCCTTTGACGATCAATTCTTACTTCAAGCCACTGGTTAGTTCTGTACGTTTTCTTTTTGTATCGTCTTTTTTGTTATATTTTTTATCCACTAATTTATGGTAATGAATAATTTCTTTTTCTTATTGTTGCTCTTCCATCACCTCTGTCCTATATATCTGGATATATAAAAAAATATAGTAAAAAAAAAAAATATATATGTATATACGCATTTGCATCATAACATATCTTTAGTTTTGTCAAACTGTTCATGCGTGCATATAGTTGGTACTATTGTAGTCACATGATCGAAGTTTGAACTTGATCGCGCCAGTTTTCTTGTTGCTGTTACAATGTAAACATAGCCGCTCCGTTAGCAGTGTGCATCGAGGAGGAACAAAGAGCAGTGATCGAATTTCTGTGGTCCGAAGGTGTGTTAGGGGCGGAAATTCATTGGAGATTTTAACACAATTACGGGACAGGCACTACTGCGTAGAAGTGTGTAAAAGTAGCTCGAGAATTTTAAAAGCGCCCGGATATGTGTGACGCACGAAGAAGGAGCAGGAGGCTCGTCAACGGCCGACACTGACGAGAAGATTCAACAAACTCGTGAGATGATAATGGCGAACCTGCGAGTTATCATCGATGAGGTAGCACGTTCTATGCACCTTCGAAGTACAGATGACGCTATAACGTAACTGTTATATACCATACCTATAAACACTAATGGTCCCAATCCTCATAAATACGTTGGACACTATTGTAAGTAGGGGTAATATGCTGTCTACGCGGGCAGCTCTTGCCGTGTCGAACTCTCTTCCCAAAGGCAGAAGGAACCCGGACGAGGTTATGCCAAAAGGCAGAGTCTCATCCGGGGGTGGTAGAAAGATACCTGATCCTGCGCTTTCGGGGTCTACGGGCAATTTTTTCCCAAGCCGACGGGCTCGGATTTCACCACATTAAATTTAGCCTTGTGTCGCATCCCACCTCGTCGGGAGGCAGGTAACTATCGTAATATGCTGTCTAAGCTGGCAGCGTGTGCTATCAGCGTAGGAAGCACTTGCCGTGTTGAACTCTCTGTCTTCGGGCAGAGATGAACCCGGACGGAGCAATGCCGAAGGGCAGAGTCTAGTCTGTGGAGGTAGACAGATACCCGATCCCGTGTATCCAGGGTCTACGGGCATTTTTTTTTCTTTTTTGTCTGAGTCCACGGGCTTGGATTTTCCCACATTGAATTTGATCTTGCGCTACATCCTCCCTCGTGTTGAGGTAGGTAAATATCGTAATATGCTGTCTAAGTAGTGCACCTCTAGCAGTGGCTTACCTACTTCACGCCGCTGGCGAGTATTGTATTTTGTTGATATGATGAAGATTACTATTTCATTTCCATCCTCCGTTTTGGTTATTCCTCATTCAGTAACCCTTTCAAGGTTACAGCAGTAACATAACGCCTTTCAATTACTAAACAAATTATTAAGAAACAGGTAAATTTAGTTAAAAACAAAGAAAAGGGTGCTAAACTGATGTGTAATATCAATCACTCCATATAGTAGAGAATGAAGGATAATTTCCTAACAGATAAAGAGAATACTTAAGGAAATATAGATGTGGCTCTACAGAAGGATGCTGAGAATAACATGGGCAGAACATGTGAGCACCGACGAAGTTTTAAGGAAAATTGGAACAAAAATCATTTGTACTTAGTACAAACTAATAAGGACAGAAGACTTGGAGAATTCGGCACTCACAGAGTATATTGAAGGCGATAGTGGCAGAAGATAACAACTGAAATGAATAGTAAGGGGGAAATATTCCTTAGAGACATAACGGAGAGGAAGTTGTGGAGAACCATGATTGCTTTAGTCATGAAAGAACACAGGGAAAATATTAGAGTCTTAAATAATTTCTGTTTTCGTCTATCAACTTTATTTTCCCCACACTCGAAAAAATTACAATTGCCTTGTATTCAGTTATATATTCACTGTTTATTTTCAATGACATGTTGCCAATTATCAGTCAGCTCTTCGATACATCTACAGTAAAGTTCCGTTTGGTTTTAATGCGAAAAGTTTTTTTCGACCAACTCTTGAATCTGGTTTCCAATAAAGAACGAGTTCACCATTAAAGCATCTTCCAGCTCTCGAAAAATGTAATAATCAGTTGGTGAGCATGGCCGATTGGGTAAAACAGACCGACCGAGTTCCATTTCTTTTCTTTTATTGTTCTTGCTGTATACGGCCTTGTGTTATTATGTATGAGAAGAACAATTTTCCTTTTTATCCGCCGTGTACGCTGCCACTGGCGAGCAAACATTACGGTATTCCGAACTGTTACGCATGAATTGTAGGATTCGTCATTCCAGTTGGTTCCCGAAAACTGGAATTAACTTAGGATACAAGCTAACATATTCGCTATTCTGAATTCTGTCACAAAACTACATAACACTTGAAAACGATTAGGTCTGTAAATTTTTATTTAATCAAACAAACCAAGCAAAGTGAAAATGCCACTAAGACGCAAGGGGCTACTGGGGGTGGTGGTGAATGAGGAGACTTTAGAAGGAACCAGAAACCTAATCCTAAAAAAAACCTCTACTCCAGCTCAAAAGACCGAGGTTTGTAAGACAAACGATCGGCGAACCTATCTACTCCTCTTGGGAGAGTAAAAAAAATAATTAGTGAATAAAATTTTACAGTTCAAGCGGGTACATTTGAAGTATAGTGTCAAGTAGACCTTAGAAGGAATCGGAAACCTAATCCTAAACAGTAAACAAGGGATAAACCTCAACATCCGGGGAAAAGGAGCAAGATGCTTTTAAAATATCTCTTTACATTAAAAGTTAGTATTTTTTTTAACTGGTTTCTTTTGTATCGTGGCAAGACAAGATAGGACATCCATTGTTATCTCTTCTTCGTTTTATTATCAATTTAATAATCAGTACGTATAGAACATCAACAAAAAACACAGAGCAACGTCCTGTTTTTGATATTTTAGAAGTGCAGCACAATTGGAAAATTATTTAAATATTTCCATCATTTTTTTTATTGCAATGGTAAACTAGTCTGCATGTATGAAATGAATATGAAAAAGAATTTTTGATTATTACAAAAAAGGAGATTCTTCCATTTAATATAAGTGAAATTATGGGACGATTACCGATAGACTTCCCCGTTTATCTTATATTTAGTCTCGTTGTCTGGCCATTGCACGAAGAAGCAATGACGTCACTTGAACTAATACAGATCACCATCTCTCTTTTTCACTTTCATTTCTTGCACGATGCATAAAATATGTCGGAGATTCTTCCATAAAATGAAAGAGAGTCTTTACATTCAATGATTCACTGTGCTTCTTAATTACAATGAAAGAACCTCCTGAACATCATTTAATGTGATACGATGATTATATTATTTTTTTTCAAGGCTTTTAAAATAAATCTTCTTCCATCTTTTTTACAGCTATTTTCTTTTCCTTCACTCATATTATTTACTCCGTTTTCCTTTATCTTAGCAGTTTTCAATTTCCTTATCTTTTTCTAGAAATTTCTCATTTGTCTGCTCGTCATTTCAATCACCAGCTTTTGTGCCATGTTTCCTTATATAGTTTCAATTGTTGATTGTAAAAGCTTTTTTTAAAAAAATACTATACTGTCATTTTTTTTAATTTCTACTTCCTTTTTGCTCACTTTCATTCTTCTTTTTCTTCTTTGACTTTCTTTACATCGTATTTCTCTCTTTAGGTATTTGATTTTTCTTTCCTTCTGTTTTGCTTACTATTAGTCTATTAATGCTTACGTTTCTTTCTTTTGTGATCCATTAATTGTTTTCGTAATTTCTCGTTTTTTCTTTCTTTCTTGATTTATCTTTTAGTTTTCCTTTTTTTTCCTTCTTTTTTCCATTCAAAAATTCTTCTTTCTTATTCTTTCTTAGTTTCTTTCTTTCTTTCTTTCTTTTTTCCATTCAGGAATTCTTCTTTCTTATTCTTTCTTTCTTTCTTTCTTTCTTTTTTTCTTTCTTTCTTTCTTTCTTTCTTTCTTTTTTCCATTCAGGAATTCTTCTTTCTTATTCTTTCTTTCTTTCTTTCTTTCTTTCTTTCTTTCTTTTTTTCTTTCTTTCTTTCTTTCTTTCTTTTTTCCATTCAGGAATTCTTCTTTCTTATTCTTTCTTAGTTTCTTTCTTTCTTTCTTTTTTTCTTTCTTTCTTTTTTCTTTCTTTCTTTCTTTCTTTTTTCCATTCAGAATTTCTTCTTTCTTATTCTTTCTTAGATTCTTTCTTTCTTTCTTTTTTTCTTTCTTTCTTTCTTTCTTTCTTTCTTTTTTCCATTCAGGAATTCTTCTTTCTTATTCTTTCTTAGATTCTTTCTTTCTTTCTTTTTTTCTTTCTTTCTTTCTTTCTTTCTTTCTTTCTTTCTTTCTTTCTTTTTTCCATTCAGAATTTCTTCTTTCTTATTCTTTCTTAGATTTTTCTTTCTTTCTTTTTTTCTTTCTTTCTTTCTTTCTTTCTTTCTTTCTTTCTTTCTTTGTTTTTGCCATTCAGGAAGTCTTCTTCATTATTCTTTCTTTCTTTCTTTTTTCCATTCAGTATTTCTTCTTTATTATTCTTTCTTTCTTTCTTTATTTCGATGTCTTTAGTTTTCCTTTCTGTCTTTTTTGTCCATTCAGGCTTTCTTTATTATTCTTTCTTTATTTCTTTCTTTCTTTCTCTTCAGTTTGGACTTTCTTTCTTTTTCGATTTATTTGTCCTTCTTTTTTTTGTTGTTCTATCTCATTTTTTTTCTTTCTTTCTTTCTTTCTTTCTTTCTTTCTTTCTTTCTTTCTTTCTATATTTATATTTATTTATTTATTTCATGATTTATCTTTCTTCAGTATTTCTTTCTTTCCGTTTTTTTTCCATTCAGGATTTCTCCTTTATTATTCTTTCTTTCTTTCTTTCTTTCTTTCTTTCTTTCTTTCTTTCTTTCTTTCTTTCTTTCTTCTACTCTTTTTCTATCCAATAATTCTTCTTTATTATTCTTTATTCATTTAACTTTCTTTAGTTTTCCTTTCTGTCTTTCTTTCTTTCTTTCTTTCTTTCTTTCTTTTCATTCAGGCCTTATTTATTATTCTTTATTATTCTTTCTTTCTATCTTTCTTTTTCATCTGAATTTTCTTTCTTTCTTTTTCGATTTATTTGTCCTTCTTTTTTTTTTGATCTGTCTCTTCTTTCTTTCTTTCTTTCTTTATTTCTTTCTTTCTTTCTTTCTTTCTTTCTTTCTTACGTTTTCAATGTGTTTTCTTTCATTTTCTTTTTTTCTTTTTTCTGTCCAATCTATCTTTCCCCTTACATACTTTCACACAATCAGTTTTTCATTTTCCTTACGTCACTTCTTCTTTCTGATATTCTTTATTTCCCTTCCACTCTCTCTCACTTCAAATCTGACTTCTTTTTATATTCCTACTTTTGTTTCTATTTTCATTCCTTCATTCTTTCAATCAATTTCATTCCTTCATTCTTTTCATTCATTTATTCTTTTCATTCCTTCATTCTTTCAATCAATTCTTATGTCCTTTCTTATTCTTCTTTTATTCTCTCCCTCCGTCCCGACATTTCCTTTCCATTTTCATCCCCTGTTCTCACTCCCTCTCTCTTTCAGCCTGTGTTTTCACTTCTTCTCTGTTTCAGCCTCTGTTCTCACTTCCTTTCAGTTTCAGCCTCTGTTATCGCTTCATCTCTCTTTCATCCCCTTTTCTCACTTCCTCTCTGTTTCCGACTCTGTTCAACTTTGCTTTCTCTTTCAGCCCATTTTCTTCTATCTTTCAGCCTCTGTTCTGAACTCCTCTCTCTCTCTCAGTCTCTATTCTCACTTCCCCTCTCTTTCAGCTTCTGTTCTCATTTCCTCTCTCTTTCCTTTAACATGTCCGTCTTCGTCTTCTTTACAATCTACATTGCGTATCAATTTTAGCAACTATATCAGATCTAATTTAAGTCACATTCACCGTCCTCTTCCTTTTGTGCTAAAAAAGACCGCAATCGGTCGATAATTGGCCACTTATATTAAAGTACTTATTGATTGCTTTCTTCCATTCTTTTTTTTCAGTTTGTCAAAGCTGAACTTCCAATTTCCAGATTTCATTTTCTTTCACCTGCTCACAACTTAAAATAAGAACAATACTGCAGAGAGTAAAAGTAAAATGAGACATTGATATGAAGCGACTTAATAGAACGACAAGGAATGGGCACTGACTTAATGGCTCTGTTATTAGTCGATATACAGTGAAAGGCAACACAGGGAGACATAGAATGATATGTAGGGTAAATTGTAAAATACGTCCATGGACTCATGTAGAAATATGAAGAAAGAAAGAAGGAGAAAAGAAAAGAATATAATGGAAAAGAAGTAAAATTTAAAGAAGTATAAATAAATACATATAGAAAGAAAGAAAGAAAGAAAGAAAGAAAGAAAGAAAGAAAGCAGAGAGAAAGAAAGAAAAACGCAAGAAATTGACAAAGAAGGAAAGGACGAAAAGAAACAAAACAAAAATGAAGAGAAAATCTCAAGAATAAATATAGAAAGAAAGAAAGAACGAACGAAGAAAGAAAGAAAGAAAAAAACGAAAGAAATTAAGAGGGGACAAGGAAAGAAAGAAAGAAAGAAAGAAAAAAGAAAGAAAAACGGAAGGAAATAAGAAGGGACAAAGAAAGTAAGTAAGAAAGGACGAAAGGTAACAAGACAAAAATGAAGACAAAATTTCAAGAAGAATAAATAAATAAAGAAATATAGAAAGAAAGAAAAAAAGTAAGAATGAACAAAGAAAGAAAGGAAGAAAGAAAGTAAGAAGGAACGTAGAAAGAAAGAAAGACTGAATGAATAAATGAAAAAATAAAGAAAGAAATGATCGAAAAGAAAACGAATCAAAAATGGAGAGACACTTTGAAGAAGAATAAATACATAAAGAAAGAATGGTCAAAAAAAAAAGAAAAAAAGAAAATGAAGGAAATGTAAAATTAAAAATGGTAATAAATTTCTTTCAGTTGCACAGGGAGCTTGACTTATTTGGGGAGAAGTATAGAGTAGTCCAGAACCTTTACTGGTAGTAAAATTCCTGCATAGAAAATGAATTCAGTTCACACACAAAAATAAAAAGTTTGCATAAGACAAGTATTTGTTTTGTCATCGCATTTATTCAAACTTTACAGAGAAACGACGCTGAGAGAACTGGAAGTCCTACCAGAATTTATTATTGGTAGACACGGCCTTTAAAACATAACATATGCAAATGACACAGTGTTGGTAGCAGACACAGAAGGGAAACTAAAGGAACTCCCATATCAGGTAATAAAACCCGAAGGCGCATTGAATTTTGAATCTTCCAAAAGCTAAGCAATGTATTAAGAAACAGGAAAATTTCATTAGAAACAAAGAAAAGAGGACTATTGTTCTAACCATGTTGCCATATTTATCACAACGTTTCGGCTGATGTACGCTGCGGCCCTCATGAGGTGTTTGGAATGTCGAACTGAACCGTTTATTTCGCTCGCTGGGGTAGGCCGTTCTTATTCCACGTGCCATATTTAATGGATGTCAGTTATTAGTTATCTCTTGTTAATTCCCCTAAGTTCTCCACTGACTTGATCAGGTATTGAACTCACAACTCTTTGCGCCCTGTCACTGGATCTAACCAACGACTTTATCCACTGTACCATGTGTCCTTAAGGATGTACGAATTTCTGGGATCTGTCTATATTTCTGAGATGAAGTATTATGTACACTATTTACATTATTCGGACTATTGTTTTCATCTTTGTCGCCATGTTTATCACAACGTCCCGGCCGTTGTGATAAACATGGCGACAAAGATGAAGACAATAGTCCGAATAATGTTAATTTTTGGGACTTATAAACTTAATATCTTCAATTAAACATTTTTTTTACCAGTGCTCATATTGCAATTTTTAAAGAAACTGGAAGCAAAAAGAACAGTTATACTTAGAAACAGAAATTGAAATTTCTAGGATACATAATAAAGAAAGAAGGCTTTTAAAATTTAACACGTATAGGGCATACTGAAAGTAATAAAGACAGTCGAAAACAGTGAGTCACCTACCGAACGGACATGTATAAGTAGATATCAGAACAGCGATTGGGAAAGGTAACGAAAAAACGAGACTTACTAATAGCTTTTAAAGACAGAAAGTTATGGAGAGCCATGATCGCTTACCTTCTAAATGGACGAAGAAGAAAGAGAAATTGACATAATTTGAAGAAACAAATGAAACCGAAATAAAATCGCAAAATCTGAAGAAAAATGCTCTTAGGAAAAGCATGAGCACATTTCTACTTTTAACACTTTCACTGCTACTCATTTGCCCAGTGCTGCCCCCATCCGGTCAGCCATTTTTAAAGAAAATGCCAAATTTCAACCTACATATTTTATTACACAGAAAACTGGCACCAGTGTGTTTTACAGCATTCCATTTTCATGGATATACCTGGGAATGACTTACCAGATTAGTAATGTGTATACACATGATATCTTTTGAAGCATTGTCCTTTGTGATTTTACGATAGATGGCGCAACGGGACACTCATAACAGCGGTATGCAAAAAACGTAGGTTTCCGTACTTAGCCAGCTGGAGCATGATAAGAAAAACGAATATCTCCGTAGTTAGCAGTGGAAGTGTTAATAAGCTATGGATTAAATAACAGGGTAGAATAGACTTCTCGCTAGCCTTGATTGGTCGAGCCTATGAGAAGGTCCGTACTGAATTCTAATCAGTACGTGACTAGTATCTCCAATCCGTAAAATTTACATCTTATTGACGTCACAACAGAACTACCTAGTGAGGTGTATTTGTTGATTTCTACTCCGCACGAAAACCTCAGGTTCAATAAGAAGACATAGAAATTAGTTTTAAGAAACGGATTATAATTCTTGATTAGACATGAGTAATTGAATTTTTAAGCGAATGGAATTTAAACTATTTATTAGAATGGAATTTGAGACATCAGAGCCGGGTGGTTAATTAAAAATAACCACGATTTTATACAAGGTTTATGTTGCTTCGTGGAAATAGAAATTAGGATATTTTTTTCTCGTTCTTCTGACTTTAATATGGAAGTAGCATTGAATGTTTTGTAGGAGGTAGAGTGTAAATGGCGGGCTCAAGCCCCAGCAACACGATACAAAATGCAATAACCATAGCAAGACATGATCGAATTCTCTTGATATAAACAAGTATTTATTAAACACGTTTGTTATATAGAGAGGCTACTTTTTAATATATATTCATGCATACACACACACACACACATACATATATATATATATATATATATAGTATTATATATATATATATATATATATATATATATATATATATATATATATATATATATATATATGTATGTATGTATATATATATATATAAAGAATACTATTTAATATATACATATATATATAAAATAATATTTAATTTAAACTGTTTAATTTATATATATATTATATATATATATATATATATATATATATATATATATGTATATACACTGTTTGTTATATAGAGAGGATACTTTTTAATATATATTCGTATATACACATACACATATATATATATATATATATATATATATATGTATATATATATATATATATATATATATATATATATATATATATATATATAAAGAATACTATTTAATATATACATATATATATAGAGAGAAAATAATATTTAATCAATACTATTTAATTTATATTATATATATATATATATATATATATATATATATATATATATATATATATATATATATGTGTGTAACAACAAATTGTTCAAATTGTGTACCAGCACAATTGTTAGATTAAGGTCTGAGCTGTTGTATCTTAGAAATGATTAAAGATATCTTATTGGAATTCTCCGAGGTTTTTATAACATTAATGGACTCTATATATTGAGCAATAAGAATGTACAATTACTCTCTAAGCTTAGCAAAAAAATCGTGATGCGAAAAGAAATTGACATGTTCATCATTAAATAATCATAACTAGTGATCGGAAGGTCATCCATGATCAATATATATATATATATATATATATATATATATATATATATATATATATATTATTCCAGTATCATTTTTCAACGTATTCAACATGATCTATGCCCTCTCTAACTTTCTAATTTTCTGTGTTGGAGTAACAAGGTGCCTCACATATTTAAAGTACGATTTCATTTTCAAATTTTTTTCACTGCTCTTTTTACTGGCATAATTGAATTCCTCTGGAATTGAATTGGATCATATTTTTTTTAATTGATCTCTTTAGCTCTAAGTTGAAATGATGATCCCTTTTCCAATTGTGACCTCCTGATCCAGTTTTCCTCTCTATTATCCTGTTTTATTCCAAACTTATTCACCGTTCTCTTGATGGTTCTTGATAGACTTTGAAGATGGAAGGCAGACTATGAATGTGGGTAATATGACTGAAGAATTGAATGATGCTTTTCCTCACGCCATTGCTCAGTTGGGAATACAGTGGGGCAGACACAAAATCATTTTATCCCCTTCTCTTTCTAGCTGAATAAATCAAATGGTTTTTCAATGATTCTTACGGCAAATGGTGTCAAGATAGCTAAACGTCTTACCTAAAAACGGGAAAATAAGAAACCTAATTAGTTTAGTGTTTTTTTTAGATATTAAACATTATATATATATATATATATATATATATATATATATATATATATGAATCAAATTATATATTTATACAGTTCAAAATCCAAAATAAACAAAGTTTAATAAAACCATGCTCACAAAACAATGCTACTTCCGACATAAAACCCATAAGATTACATTCTATTCTACGTTATTGATAAAAGTTGCTAAGAGCACGCTGAGTATTTTAACACAGCTTTGAAAATTTCAGTTGTAAAAAGAAACCATAAGAGACTGACACGTATAC